GAACTCATTTGTTATGAGGGCCAGATCTGACATCAATGAGACCTTGTTGGGCCGGGCCATGTGTGTCATAAAATGTAATGCCAGGTAGCAGAGATATAAACTTTATAAAAAACACAAACACAAAGGTTTTTTTACTTAAAATAAAAACATGCTTCAAACATTAGCAGTCTTGCAATATTTTGCTTATTTAACAGTATCTAATAACTGACACCTCTTGTTCTCAATTACTGCATCAAAATGTCTGTGCTGTTGCAATCTTGAGTATGCTGTTCAAGCGTGTATCTGTAAACTGCAAACCTACTTTTGATTTATTGACATTCACCACAGAAATCTCATGCTCAGAGGTCTGAGTCTAAGACCCAGGTTAAAAAATGAAATGGCTGAGCAAGTGAGAGGGTCTGGCGAAGCAAGCTATGATGCAGCAGCAGAACTGGAAGCAGGAGATGGCCAGTTCCACTGGGGGCCTGATAGAAGCCCTCTGGGGGCCTGATCCTGGGCTGCGTGTTTGACACCCCCGTTCTAGAGCATGCCTGTACAAGTCAGGACCTGCGACTTACTTATTTGGTGTATTTTTAGACTGCTTCTCCACCCAAAGATGGGTTCCTGTTTTTTGGTAGCCTTTCTAGCCAAGCTACACAATTAGGATGTACATGGCTGGTGGAGGTCAATGTCCCCATGACCCCATGCAGATCCTAGTTGTGTTGTTTGGCTAGGAAGGCTACCAAAACCAGGAACCCTGTCATGCATTTGGTAGGTCAAAACAGAAGGCTGGTATATAACGGCTGGCTTGGCAGCTCACAAACTATGTGGGCCCTTCCAGACTTCCACAAAAGCAATGTGCTAAGGATCATTTCGGCACACCTGCTCCTGTTTATATCCAGTCTTGCCTTTTGGACTTCTCTGTCTCCCATGTGTGACATTTGTCAGAAGATGGTGGGCTGTTTAGCTTTATTTATATTTTGGTTTGGGGAACTTTGTTTTTGAGTTTAGTATTTTACAGGGTTTTTTTCTCGGCACACCTGCTCCTGTTTATATCCAGACTTGCCTTTTCGACTTCTCTGTCTCCGATGTGTGACATTTGTCAGAAGATGGTAGGCTGTTTAGTTTTATTTATATTTTGGTTTGGGGAGCTTTGTTTTGAGTTTAGTATTTTACAGGGGTTTTTTTCCCTGTTGGTTCATCTTTCACTGCCCACATCTCTTCTCACAGATCCACTTACTGTTTTCTTTTTTTATTAGCTTGTAGTAACAAAGAAAATGCATAGAGACAGAAGGTTTCTGAGGAAGGGAGCTTTGACTCTTGAAAGCTTATACCTCGAAAATCTTGCTGGTCTCTCAGGTGCTATTGGATTCAAATCTAACAGACTTACACAGAGCCCTGAGCTTCATATTCCAGCTTTCTGTAAACAAACTCCCAAGTTCCAGCAAATCTAGATAAAAATCCTTCTCTCTCCCTTTTTTAAAGCCAGTCACCGAGTTAAAAGAAAATGCCACAGCCCAAATTCTTTTCTGCCATTCCACCACTAACAGTGGAGGCCTTTGATTTCCAACAGATGGCTACACACATTTGAGCTGCACTCAGTTAAGCTGTAACCAATTCTACATCATCCTTCCCAACACCGTTCTTCACAAAAACCTAACAAAAACACTTCAGGATCCAGCGGCATTCCATATTCAGCACCATTTTATAGTTTAATTGAAAGTGGAATGTTATGAGAGTTATGCGAGGCTGCCAATCAAAATGCAAGGTACAGATCCAATCAAGCACAATCAGATGCTATCTAGAGTTTGGGTAACCAGTCCCCTTCAGTATGAAGTTCCACAGACACAAAAGCACTGCTATCAAACGCCCTCCATTCACTTCAGTGACACTCCCCTTTTACATGAACAGAGGTTTTCCAGCAATTCACAGAGAATGCCCCATTTAAAGAAAAACAGTCAGGAAAATTGGATTTGGCAGTATAATATCTGGCACCTTACTGGCACTTCCGTTTAAGATAAGAATGCTGATGTAAATGCGGAAAGTACAGATAACATAAAATAAAAGGATCTGAACAGCATGCTGTGTACGTGACCATAATAGCTGGTTCCCGCAGGGCTTTTTATATAATTAGGCTGCATATTGCATTATTTCATCTATATCTACTGTACCACAGCACATTTTGTTTGTTTGTTTCCCCTTGATTTTATCCAAACGAAGTGAAATATACTCTTAAGGGCAGAAAGTTGAAATAATTATTAGGCAATCAGCTTTAATAATAGTAGAACCATTCTCAGACCCTTTAGGAGGTCAAGCATCAGACACACTCAGACCAGTTTGGTTTGAGAAAACTGGAATGGGAAAGAAAAGACCTTTATTTAACTAGAGTTCAAGGAGTTCATGTTCGATTTGGGGGCTCTCCAAATAGATAATGCAGTACAAAGGCCATATTGGACATATCTTAGACTCGAAGCTTCTAGATTCTTTGCAATCAATGGAGGAGGAGGAGGAAAAAAGGAAGAGGAAGAAGAAGAGGAGGAGGAGGAGGAGGAGATTGGATTTATATCCCACCCTTCACTCAAAGTCTCCTTCCTTTCCTCTCCCCACAACAGACACCCTGTGAGGTAGGTGGGGCTGAGTGAGAGAACTGTGACTGACCCAAGGACACCCAGCTGGCTGCATGTGGAAGAGTGGGAAGTCAAACCCAGTTCTCCCAGATTAGAGTCTGTGCTCCTAACCCCTACACCAAACTGGCTTTCAAAATGCACAGTATGTATGACATGAGTCCGGACATGCATGCCCAACCTGATTCGTTGTCGCACATAGGACTGGTGTAACTCACCCTGAAATGGTTGCATTGCTCCATGCAGGGTACACATGCTTTTGCCAGCAGAAATGGCACAGGAGGGAAGCTGAAGTCCCTTCTCCCTGCACCTCTTTGGAGTGTTTGGAGCCGCACAGAACAACAAGGTGAGCTACACCAATCCTACATCTGACAAAGAGTTGGGTCAGGCACCTGTGTTCCAATTCATGTCACACATGTTGTGTGTTTTGACCCTCGCTTATTGGATCTGTAGGCGCACCCATGAGAACTTGTACTACTAGCCCTAAACCACAAGCAATCAGATTAAGGAATGAGGAGTCTTCCCCTCACATGTGAAACATAGTTGTCATAAGTAAGCAAAATAGCCGCCTTGAACTTCTAAGCAAACAAAAGGCTGTATCGGCAGAGCGTGTTTTTAAAATGGTAACAGTAAGAGAGTAATTGAGTGGGGAGTATTTGGAGTGGGCAGTGGCATGAAACGATACAAGTAACGAGAAGTCGTGAGTGCAGATAAATGAACCTATGTCACAAGAAAGGGATGTAATAAATTTGAAGTGCTGTCCAAATAATAGTGTGGCTGAAAAATGAAGATGAAAAACCCTGTATTCACTGAGGGACCACAGCACAACCAGTGACCTATGAAGCGGAATCCAGCCCACCAGTTATGTATGGTGGTTCAACAAACCATCTATTATTGCTGTCTGGCTGGATTGGAAAAGAACAGTGCAGACACCGGGATTTGGCAAGCTACAATACACAGCTGCTCGGCCACATTCAGCTTTGTGGGCCACAAATTATGTCATCCTGCATTGCAGCCACCTCACAGAAGCCACTTTGCCCCCCCAGTCGGAATAAAGAGACAGACACCAATATGGATTTAACAAGGGCCACTTTATTAATTATTTAATAACAACAAATACTAGCGAGGGGTTGCCAGAAATGTACTGAGGGATATGACAGGTGTCAAACTCCTGACCACCTTCATTTCATTCTGGGCGATGCACCTGCTCTGATCTTAAGCCAGCGAAGGTAACTTTCGACCAGCAGTGTGGCATGTTCAAGAGAACCCCTGACCCACCACCCCAGAAGCCGCAAAGGCCCGCTAAGGTAGGCCGAGCCAGATTGTTCCAAGGAAGATCACCCCTTCCCGGCCTTGAGCCGCAAAGGCCCGAAAGCCGTTCCTGGAGGACCCTTTATTTCCTTTATAACAATGCCCCGGTGCTCACCATTTCCATCCTGATCGTGCTACCCCGCCAAACACTAAAGTGACCATACTATTTAACAACCCGCCCTCCCGAAGCCAATAAACCAACACCACCATCATCGGTGCAAGGTAGGCAAAAACACCTCCACACATAGGCCAAACCAATGGAGGTGAAAAATTCCTACCTGGCTCCATAAAAAGGCAACCGGTCAGACCTGCACTAAAATAGGGTGGGAGGGTGGGCTGAGCTCTACCGACTGACTGTAAGGCAGGGGGCAGGAGCCAAGCCTAGACAGGCTGGCTCTGCCCCCTGTTGGTTCCTTAAGCTTCATGCCTCTCACGGAGGCCAACCATGCGGTGTCTTCCACTTTCTGCCTCTCGAGGAGGCAAATAAGTCCTCCACCACCAGCACAGGCTTGGCGGGGGTTGGGGCTCGCATTGTAATTGGTTGTTTTCACCGTGTGGTGAGGTGTTTGAGGACTATTTTCTCCATACCACAACATACATTCAGTCCACAACCGGGGGGGGGGGGTCCTGTCTGGTCTCCATGGTGAACTGCTATACACAACATCTGTGTCAATTATCGTCTCATATAATAATTTAACGTACCCTCCAAATGATAGCCATAACATGTACACTGAGCCTCGGAAATGCCAGAGAACAGTCTGTAAACGACAACACCCGTCCAGCCGTGACTATGCCTTCTCTCAGCAGCAGACGCCATTTACAACCAGAGCATCTTGAACAGGACATTTCACATCTTTCTCCACTTTGCCTTTTGGCAGCCACAATCAATGATGTCAATGAGTGGAAAATTGAAATATTAGGAATACGTTTTTTTAAAAACCTTGCAAATGTCACCATATCATAGTTACCAGCTGACTCAGATCAGCCCTCTGAGAGAAACGAGTTTCTGCTCATAATCTCACCCTGCAAGGAACAGTCATCTCATGGGATACTTCCAAGCCGTAGAGCTGCGGACACAAGCAGTCTCCTCACACAGCCAGTTGTAACTGCAGAGCAGCAAACTAATGCAGACACACCTGTTCACAGACAGCTCACTGCTTGGACCACGCACTGGTCACAATCCATGGGCCACACACAGAAAAAAAATCACCATCTGCACAAGCCAGCCTCCTGGTGCATTGTATGAACTGAAAACTAAGCGCACAGATGATGTGCAAATATTTATAGAAATTCACTGCCCACACCAGGCAAAGCAAATATATATATTCCCCTATCCCATGCTATAAAATATTATCATTTCCTTTGCTCAGACGCTGGTTGAAAACCTTTAGGGGACTCTAAAAGAAATATGACTGAAAGGCTCTGTTGTGCATTCCCAAGAAAAACACTTAACAGATCGGCATGGGACTGAATAACAAAGTTAAAACACGGGTCTATCACTAGCTATTAGGCACGAGAGCGAAGACTGGGATTACTACAGAGAAAAGCACTACAAATCTCATACTCCTTGACTGCTGAAGTCCTTGCCAGGAGGGATCTGGCTGGTAGAGCTGCAGACACAAGCAGTCTCCTCACACAGCCAGTTGTAACTGCAGAGCAGCAAACTAATGCAGACACACCTGTTCACAGACAGCTCACTGCTTGGACCACGCACTGGTCACAATCCATGGGCCACACACAGAAAAAAAATCACCATCTGCACAAGCCAGCCTCCTGGTGCATTGTATGAACTGAAAACTAAGCGTGCAGAGCAGCAAACTAATGCAGACACACCTGTTCACAGACAGCTCACTGCTTGGACCATGTACTGGTCACAATCCATGGGCCACACACAGTAAAACAAATCACCATCTGCAGACGCCAACCTCCTGGTACATTGTATGAACTGAAAACTAAGTGCACAGATGATGTGCAAATATTTATAGAAATTCACTGCCCACACCAGGCAAAGCAAATATATATATTCCCCTATCCCATGCTATAAAATATTATCATTTCCTTTGCTCAGACGCTGGTTGAAAACCTTTAGGGGACTCTAAAAGAAATATGACTGAAAGGCTCTGTTGTGCATTCCCAAGAAAAACACTTAACAGATCGGCATGGGACTGAATAACAAAGTTAAAACACGGGTCTATCACTAGCTATTAGGCACGAGAGCGAAGACTGGGATTATTACACAGAAAAGCACTACAAATCTGATTACCAGATTCTGGGCACAAGGAACAAGGAGAGAGAGAGCTCTCTCCAGCTCATACTCCTTGACTGCTGAAGTCCTTGCCAGGAGGGATCTGGCTGGCTGGCTGCTGCTGGAGACAGAGCACTGGGCCAACATGCATTCTCAGAGCCAGAGCACAATAGTGGTTTGAGCACTGGACAAAGGCCTGGGAGACCCAAGTATGACATTCCACTCAGCCACAAAGCTCACTGGGTGGGTGACCACAGGGCAGTTCTTCTCTCTCAATCTACATTTCAGAGTTGAAGTAGTAAGACAGCAGAGGGGGCAAAGACGAATGCCCCTCTGGGCTCCTTAGAGATAGGGTGGGGTAAAAAATGTACTGAATAATAATACCCAAGCTGAGTTTTCCAGCCATATTAGTAAAGCTAAGTATCAAAAGCTTTACTGAGCAGCCAGTGTTCCCTCTAAGCTGAGTTAGTGTGAGCTAGCTCACAGTTTTTAGGCCTCTGGCTCACACATTTTTGTCTCCCGCCAGGAAGGAGGGCTCCAGAGCAAACTAATTTATGCAGCAGCCTAATGGCTCGCTCATAACTTTAATGCCAGTAGCTCACAAAGTAGAATTTTTGCTCACAGGATTCCACAGCTTAGAGGGAGCAGTATGATTCCCATTTGGCTGGATAATAAGCACCTCACCTCTGGGGCAGGAGGAGCAGGTTTCTTTCTATCTTTCTCTCTGATGTGCAATGCAGCACATTACTGGCTTCTTTTATTTGCTTCAGCTTTCCAGTCAGAATCGAGAGGGAAGGAACAGGTGTTAATTCATGGACACAGACCCAGGTCTGCCTTTTATGTGACTACAAAATAAAGGTTTGGTTTCCATTAGAGTCCAGCCTACCCTTTTATTTGGTAATCTCATATCACGACACCTATTTCACCTGTTATATGCTGATGAGTATGTTAGAAGAAGTCAAACATCTCAGTCCCTCAGCAGCAAGAGGTCAGGTGATGAGCAGCCCTCATTCCGCAACCACAGGGTACTGTCTGCCTGGCAACTCTTTCGAAGATATGCATCTCAGCTGTGCTACAGACTGCTTAAGACTTAAGCCATTATCACATTTCCATACAGTGTAAGGAATTTGTAATGTACTTTTCAAAATACACTGCAGAGACATAAATAACTACTAAAACTACCGGTAGTCCTTGCAGCCAGAGTTACAAGTAAAGAGCTAGACTTTAGATTTATCAGAGCAATTAAAAAAAGAGGGAGTTATGCTGGTGAGCAATAAATTTAAATGAACACTTCATTAACGCAATGCATTAGAAAGTACTGAACAACGACATCACTCTCAGATAGCTTCTAGGTTCACGAAGCAATCTGGATCCTGAACAAAAGGCAGCTCCCCTTGGGTTTTCCCGTTTCTCAACAACCTTTAATCATTGCTCCAACAGAAAAGGCTCTTTGTAAGACTGGCCATTTGAGGGCTTTTTAGGAAAGCTATGGCAACCAGCTAGTAGTCTTATCCGGGACCATCCCAGCTAAGGGAGCAACAGAAAGCTGGTGTACCCTGAGAGACTGGACTGTGAATCGGGAACTGATCCTTCCCAGTTTTGCCTCTGCCATAAACTCACTGGGTGGACAGCCCTAGGCACATTGGTGTTGGGTAAGCCTCAGCCCCAGATCTGCATTCTGGTCATGACAGAACTGGCCCTCTCTGTAGAGTTACTGTAAGAATAAGTAATGTATACTACATACGAACACAAGAAATGTGCTGTACATAAGGATTATTATGCTTTATTATTCATAGCTATTAAGCACTTTGTCAAGCTTTATACCTCAGGAAGAAGTCTACTTCCCTGTATCTTTCAAACTTCACAGTAAGTCAATAAAATAAGCTTGCTGCAGGATAAAACACTCTGATTCTTTGACAAGGCATCATTAATCCTGTGTGTCCCTGTGACTCAGATGCAAGGCCACAGAAAAGGAGGAAACCTGGATTCAGGTTTTGGTGCATTTACTAAAGAATCAGTGGCCTCTGCCAGACCTGCAAATCTCAGCCTTACTCCGTGACATGGAGTAGAAGTACTAGAAAATGCACGGGAGCCAAAATCAGCATAAAGCATGTTACAAAACACATTTCAGTGTGGGTATAGTGGTTAGTGTGTCAGACTAGGATCTGGGGAACTCAGGGTCGAAGGTCCACTTGTCAAAGAGTGATTAACACTTGGAATTCACTGCCACAGGAAGTGGTGGCGGCTACAAGCATGGACGGCTTCAAAAGGGAATTAGATAAGCATATGGAACAGAGTTCCATCAGTGGCTATTAGCCACAAGGTATAGATAGGGGCTCTGGGGCAAGTGATGCTCTGTCTTCTTGGTGCTTGGGGGGGTCAACAGTGGGAGGGCTTCTAATGTCCTGGCCCCACTGGTGGACCTCCTGATGGCACTGGTATTTCTGGCCACTGTGTGATACAGAGTGTTGGACTGGATGGGCCTTTGGCCTGATCCAACATTGGCATCTCTTATGTTCTTATGTTCTTATGATCATAGAAGCTCGCTGGGTTCCCTTGGGACAGTCACACTCCTAACCTAATTCACAGGGTTGTAACTTACCTATACTTCCTGGAACATGCTTGCCATTGAAGCGAAAGCAAGCAGTGACATTGAGGCAGTTCACCTCTTGCAAGCCATCGTGACACTGAGGCGCTGTGATGTCAATGGATGCCGGCAGGAAAATAGACACATCCAGCGTAACGACAGGCCTGGATCTTGAACAACAACAAAAAAGGAGGGGGGAGCGTTAATTCTCATAATAGCTAATGCGGTGCATGAAATAAACTAGGATTCCCTAGGTTACAACCTCCCTGCGAACAGAAAATCAGCACCGCAAGCAAAGAGAGGGGGTGGAACTTTTCCCTCTGCCAAGCTAGGTTTCTGTTTTCATGGAGGGTTCTTATTTTAAGATGAGAGGACAGAACATAAATATTGTTAAATAAATAAAAAAAATAGTATGCCATTGCTTCTGTAAATCTGACAATTCTCACTGTGCCTTTTTTTGCCCTGACTGTCTCCTACGTATTCCTCAAAACAAGAGCTGGTTTTCATACAGACAGACAGAGTGGTGTGATGGTTAAGAGTGGTGGACTCTCATCTGGAGAACTGGGTTTGATCCCCCACTCCTCCTCATGAAGCCTGCTGGGTGACCCGGGGCCAGTCACAGTTCTCTCTGAACTCCCTCAGCCCCATCTATGGCATGAGGTGACTGTTGTTGGGAGGGGAAGGGAAGGCAACTGTAAGATGCTTTGAGACTCCTTAGGGCAGAGAAAAGTGGAATGCGAAAACCAACTCTTCTTCTTTAGCACACAATCTGGAAGTTGCCCCTCAACACCAAACGAATAAGGCTGCTGCGCAGCATGGAATTATCATCTGTGTAAGTAGCTCCCAAGGATGCTCCAACAACTTTAGCCACACCTATCAATTCAATTCAATTCAAATACCTTTTATTGGCATACAATATTAGAAGCATTTACCAATAATACAATCCAAAAGAAATTATAGAATAGATAGTCGTGGCTATGTCAGGCCTAACTCAAATTGTCACAAGCTAGATTTGACCATACAAAAGATGCCTGAATCATAAAATAAATTGGCATTCTAATAGCCACACCTATCAATTTGGAGAGAGATGAACTACACCAGCAGGATTTTTTAAAAAACAAAAACAAAAACCCACAACAAATAAACTAGAGCCATGTGAGAGGCTCTTCATATTTTCCCATATAAAATGGCTTTCTGTGTTCTCCCTTATATAAACAGTGTGTGTGTGTGGGGGGGATCTACAGCAGAGTCAGGATACAGCAATCAAGACACACGCACCAAAGTCCAGGTATGGTAAGAGGCACCGAATACAGTAAAGCGTGGGGGGGGTATCATCAATGCCTGGATGGAAGACCACCTGGGAAGCTTATGTACACCACTGTGAGTTCCCACACAGAGGAAAGGGGATCTATAAATATAATAAACACACACACACACTTTGGGATATATGACAGTCGATATCGTTGAGGTCTTCACAGATTCACAGAAGAAAATGTGCCACCCCAAGGGCTCCATCTTAAATGCAGCAAACACGTGATCCTCACGCAAAAGACCAGCTGTGGAACCTGGATCCCCTAAACTAGCAGCTCTAACCACCTAAGCTTGTAGCCTGAGTCTTCAGAGAAATCGTTTCTCCAGCTGCCCAAGACCAAACTCTTATTTGGTAAATCGAGGGAGGGGGACAAGCATGCTGCTGATCACATTAAGAGTGCGAGGCTCCGTGCCCTTTTTTAAAAAGCTCTGTACATCCTCCATTAAAAGACAGAACCTGGGACAGGCAGCCTGCCTCAAGATATGATGGCCCCAACGGAACTCATCAGAACAACTTGTCTTCTGACTTGGAGCTGTCCATGGTCTGGCAGATCTGATTTCTGACCCAAACTCTACCTTTGCTCCCCATCCTTGCAGCCTCTGCTATTGAAAAGTACCGCCTAACCCCCACCTGCTGCCTCCGGCTTCTCTTCCCCATACCATTAACTCAGGAAAAAACCACCCACCATGCCCACCTAGCTACCTGGCATCTCCCACAGCACATTGTATCTTTTTTCCAGCCTGGCACTGAGCAGAACTGTGAAATATAATTGTTGCAGAACAGCCACTGTAGCAAAGGTCACAAACACTTCTACATGGAATCCATGTGCATTCACCACTGTAGCCCTTTCACTTGATGACCTGCAGACAAAACACTGAAAATCACTGTCCTTGAGGCAATTCAAAGTGATACTAAAGATCTGTTTGTGTTGATCAATCTGCCATGGTTCGTTCACACAGGGGTCTTGTGCAGAATCCTTCAAGCCAGGTGCTCTCAGCTGAAATAAAGAGTCTAAACCAGGGGTCATTTCGTAGAAAAAGAGCTAGGGGGACTCATTAGCATAACTCATTAGCATATGCCACACCCCCTGACATCACCGGAAGTGTGTCCTCCCCACAGCCGGCGGCGACCTCCAGTGGGCACCAGCAGGGAGCTCCAGGCCCCGCCCTCCCGCACCTCACCCGGGGGGATGGTGTCCCCCCGCATCCCCCCCAAATGACCCCTGATCTAAACAGAGTGCATAAAAGTCTAGGGGGGGAGCTAGCTTATTTTATCCTGGATGTCCTTTGCCATAAAGGCACAGAGGTGGCCACCCATCTGACTGAGTCAGCCCTCATACTTTATGGTACTGAGGAGCCATCAAATAGAAGAAGTGAAGCTCTGGCTAAGAAGACGGCACAGCAGGGGCTCCGCATGAATGGTGCTCAGGAAGGAGAAAAGATCAGATCACTGCTTTGCCTGGTAGGACCTAAAGACTGTCTCATTCTCTTTCAAGGTTCCTTCCTTTTTGCACCCCCACCCCACCCCCGGCTTCCACTAGGACCCACAGACAGCTCCTTCCTGGAGCTCCAAGGACACCTTGATTTCCTGCTGTAATGCAGAAGGGAATTAGGGATTTGTGGAAAGATTCTGCCTCTTCAGAAAATGGCTGCAGCCCTGTCCTCCTAGTTTATTTTACATTCCCTACAGCCCTCCATGGAGAGGACAAACCTGTACAAAAAAAGAGAACCCCTCAATTGATTTTCCATCGAGTTGCAAGATGCAATAAGTGCATTATGCAGCCACTGTTGTCAACGAGGTCACAGATGACTATTTCCTAGTGGCATGAACTTAGACTGACAGTATTCCTTTGAGCCAGAAAAATTCAATCAAGGTTGCCTGCCTCCTCCCATCCTGTGTATCATGAATGGAAGCATTTACATTCATGCAGCTTTCTGCCCTGCCTTGTGGCTGAGGCTATTTCAAGTTGACGAAGAGTTCAGCCATGTCAAAGTAATTTAGCCTTCACAGCAAGGCTTCCCTCTGCCACATGACCGAGTGATTAGAGAACACTTGGGGACTAGTTATGAAATTAAGAGCCAGTCTGTGATCACCAGTTTCTTCTGATGTGTGGCATGTGCCACAAAAAGATTCTGTACTGGCTGTAAAATCAGGGACGGGTGACAAAAATGAGCCTTCGTTTGAAATGATTTTGATTTTTACATACCACATCATTCAAACTGGTGTGCTCATATTCTGAAATCTAACCATCCGTGTAACGGGGGAGTGTAGTTCCCAGAAAATAAATTTGCCTTCTACCAACAGTGCAGAGTGGCCTCCCTCCACTTAGCCCAACTCCAGATTCTGTGACTTATGCCAGTATGATGCAGTGGTTAGAGCAACAGACTAGGAGTGGAGAGTCTTCGGTTCAGTTTCCACACAGCCATAACATTCACCGGCAGTGCCTTCCTCAGCAGAGTTATGCTCTCTTAAATCCACTGACTAGCTTCACCACCTAGTGGTGGTTGTTGTTCAGTCACACAGTCGAGTCCGACTCTTCGCGGCCCCATGGACGAGATCACGCCAGGCCTTCCGGTCTTCCGCCGTCCTCTGAAGTTTGCTCAATTTCATGTTCGTTGCATCTATGACACTGTCTAACCATCTCATCCTTTGCCATCCCCGTCTTCTTTGACCTTCAATCTTTCCCAGCATCAGGGTCTTCTCCAGTGAGTGCTCCCTTCTCATTTGGTGGCCAAAGTATTTGAGCTTCAGTTTCATTATCTGGCCTTCCAGGGAACAGTCAGGGTTGATTTCTTGTAGGATTGACTGATTTGATCTTCTTGCAGTCCAAGGGACTCTCAAGAGTCTTCTCCAGAACCATAGTTCAAAATAATCTATTCTTCGGAGCTCAGCCTTCCTTATAGTCCAACTCTCGCAGCCATACGTGACTACTGGGAATACCACTGCTTTGACCATGCGGACTTTTGTTGGCAGGGTGGTGTCTCTACTTCTTATCATGCTGTTTAGGTTCGCCATTGCTTTCCTCCCAAGGAGCAGGCGTCTTTTAATTTCATGGCTGCTGTC